CGGAGGCCTCGAAGCGACGTGGTTGTTTATCTAGTAAAAGGGCAACCTCCTTTCCGTCAAGTCTTCCCGTTCTCCCTTGAGTCACAGAAATAGCCTATAATTGTTTGAATGGGCGTTTCTCTGAAGTTGTTTAATGACGCGGGCGAGTTGGTTTTCCACAGTTTTCTTGGCAGGGGCGTGGGTTGACTACAGATTGCTCCAAACCTCTAACATAATATGCGAATCTCTGCTCAAAAGTATTCATCTGCCCAGTTTGCTCATAAGGTATTCTGACCTCTCTTTCCCTCTTTCCCCGTTTGCACTCCGCTGTTATTTGGCCCCTTCCTATATCCAGTTAACCCAATAATGGAAAATTCGCGGCCTCGGTGGCAGTCGAACCCACACATCAGTGCTAGTGTAAATCTTGCGAAACAGAAAATACGATCGTTGGCGCAGGAGCTTTGCTAGCCTGACGTTTTGGAATCTCCCTCGAATCCATCATCAGAGAGGAAGTCAGAAAAGGAGTAGTTGATTGCACAGGTGTAACAGTATTTATAGGAGGCATTCGTTATGTCCCCAGCATGCCTAACAAAATGCACAGCTCCCAAGGGTATCGCGGATGGTTGCACTTTGTGTGATAATTGTCTGACTGCTCAGGTGTTACCCTATACGGTTGCGATGCCTCTGTGTGTCTGTCAAAGTTGTCGACTGTTGCATTCATAGCAGGGAAAGTTGCAACTTGAATCGTGAACCCCTATGGCCCACGATCGCTCAACCACTGCGCGGAATGTGGTCCGTAACAGTCTCTCGGCATCGTTCGTTCGACAAGGCTGTATCCTGTCGCCTATTCTGTTCATCTGCGCTACTAACTGGATTCTCGGAAAGGCCCTACATAAAGACGACGGCGTTTAGCTTACACCCGGACGTCAACTGACTGATTTTGACCATACCGATGATATCGCCTTACTAGTTTCAAGTTTTGGTGATCTTCAGTCCCGGGCGAACGAGGTCGTTAAATCGGTCTGTTTGTCCATAAACGCTGGTAAGATCAAAATGTTCTAATTCCTGCAACCCTGCCCGAGAGAAGGCACTGTCGGGATTGGTGATTGTCAACTTAAGGAAGTGGACAGCTTCAAATATCTGGGGCAAGTTCGCTGCCGAATGGACGAGTTAAGGATGACATTGTCTCCCAAATCGATGCAGCTCGTCAAGTTTTCTCCAGCAGTAGAATGTGCCTACGGGCCCGACGCGAAGTTTCCATCGTCACGAAGGTTCGCTTATACCGAGCATCCGTTCGGTTTGTCCTTCTCTACGACTGTGCCTGCTAGGCTATGCGCGTGGAAGATAAAAGGAAATCGGAGCTATTTGATCCCTACTGCTTGAGGACCATCCTTCGAGTGAAGTACACCGACTTCGTCTCAAAT